TCCCTTTTTTTGGTTTGTTTTTCTTAATTTTTGTTTCCCTTCACAACAAATAAGTGAAGTGAACCAAAGGGACAAACCCGAATTAGTAACAGGCCGAGAGCGTGCCCATGGGCAGGAGGCAGCAGGCGGAGGGCTGGGGAGGGACTGTCAGGCAGTGGATGAGCAAACCCTGTTCCCGTGCTGAAGTCAACCTCCAAAGTGCATAAGGGGGCAGTGTCAGTACTTGTGTGGTGTTCCCTTAGTGTTGTGCAATGTTGCAACCTTTTCTTTGCTTAGTTTCTATACCTCCTTGTGCATCTCCAGGCACTGGTGATGAAGCTGCTTAGTGATGGGATGTGAGGCTAATGAGGGGGGCCTTAGGGAGAGGAGGCTCAAGCCAGAGCCAATTCAGGCTCCTGCAGAATACCTCCAAGTTGGCAGCACCCCAGGCATTACCCATAAGTCATGGGGCCACCTGCTCAAGTCACCTGCATCTAAAATGCATGGAGCCAGATCCTGGCCTCACCTCCATTCTCCAGTGGCAAAGAGCAGTGCCACGAAGACAGAGAGCTGGCTTAAACAGCCGTATGGGAACTCTTCTTGCATAGAAGAACTCCCATAGTGGAGGCCCCGGGGAGGATGGGGGGTCAGAAGGGAATGGATCTAATTGATGACATGGCCGTGACTGCCATCACAAATGGGAGCGGCTGTGAGGTTAATATATCCATATATGTATGTCTAATTCCCAAGCAAAACTCACTGACTTTTAAAAGAGAAGGATGCTCTAATGGGAATTGGCCCATGGCCTTCTACAGGTGAAGCATTCGGTGAACTAAACACCTGTGGACTGGGGAAACTGGTTGTAGTGGCCGGTTATGTCATTCCTACTGTCTGGAGCAGCCAATAGGCAAGTCACTCTTCCTACCGCCTGCATTTCGGCTGTGGTGGTACAGCCCCGTTTTGCTTTGCTTTCCTCTGGAAAGACCGGGCAGATGCCAGGTTGTCTTTGGGCCAAGCCTGACTTCCCTGGGCTGCAATAATATGCAACACATTCATGTAGCTGACGGCAGAGAGCTGTGCCTTCACCTCTCCTTCCCATAACGCTGCAGTGACTGCTGCCGTCACAGCCAAAGTCAGCAGAGCATGCCGGCTCCAGGCTGAGGAGGGATCCGGGAGCGAAACTGCTCTGATGCGAGTGATTCATGCCTGAATGATATCCTTTCACTTCCAGGGGAAGCGCGGGAGAGGGGAGCATGCTCCATTTGCTGCGACAGGGAGATTCTGCTTCGGATGTGCAGTGGAGCTGGAATGGATCGGGGGGCTCTGCTTTCATCCCCAACGTGCCAGGCCTGCGTGAATCAACCGTCCCCACTCTAATGACCTGTTTCTACACAGATCCTGATGCCAGATGGATGCATGGCAGCACATATAGTGCGTGTGCACAGTATATAATAGCAGGCTTAAGTGGTATCTGCCTTTAGCCACAGTGGGGGAAGAAGGGTGTCCATCATCCATTTGGATATGCTCCCAGCATGGATGGGTCCCAAGTCCCTGAGACTCCTGTGTACAAAAAGGGCAGGTGGGTAGTGATGATCCTTGCTAGGATGGATGGTGCCATCTCTTGTCCTCCCGCTCCATGCCCCAAGATAGCTCCGTTACACAGCCCACAGGCTGTACCTCGTCCAGGATCCCAGGGGCACCAGCCAGTTATTATCCAGGCAGTGTCATGCCTTGAATTGCTGCTGCCCACGTCATGTGCAGCTTCCAATTCTCAGTCTTGGCTCAACCTCACGAGAAGCATTTTTGGACCCTACCCATACAGATGGCTTTTCCACGGCAGTGGTAATGCATTTGCAAAGCCTCTATTGCTGTACAATCCAGATGCTATTGTGCATGCAAGCGACTGGTCAGGGCCTCTGATGGGCTCCTCATTATGGATCGACATGTGAACAGATAGAAGAATTAAAATAAAAGACCAGAGTGGTGTCATCTGGCTATAGATATTCTGCTGGCATCAGCTTGGAATGGTCCTTATGCAATTAAGCCACAAATGAGTTGCATAGATCATCTCAAGTGAGGGCTAATAAAACCCAAGTCCTGTACATGACTTAAGAGACCAAATCCTATTTTCAGCCATAGCTTAGGCACTTTGGAAACCCAAGGAGCAGGTGGGGAGGGTGCTTTGCAGCTGAACGAGCAATGAAAACAGGGCAGCTCTGCAGTTTCACTCATCTCAGCACCTGGAGCTCAACTTTGGGCTCTCCTGTTAGCTGACCTGAACTGCAATCAGTAAGCAGCATTAAAACGCCACTTGCCTCGTCTTTGCTGCTGTTGTACCTGTGTTTGCTGATTCAGGTTAGCCAGCGAGTTACAAACCTGCTTTATATTTTTGGTGTGAACGTTACCAGGTGCCCAAGTCCCTCTAGGAAAAGAGACTTTGGTTCTTACCTCACTTAGACTGCACGGTCCCTTTAAAATCATCATACTCACATCTATCCAGGCATGTTTGCTGGAGCAGGTCCTATGCTGAGACACTGTGAGAGAGTCCAGGGGCAAATGGAAAGGGAGGAATGGGGGTAACAACAAGTTTAAGTGATGGATGTACATGATTTCTGCTCTCTGTATTAGGTCCCCAACTTTTATTTAAAGAAGATGTGTGATTAGAGAATGACTTGAGGAGCTAGAAAGCAGACACATAAATATATAGCCTTGGACTCATTGTTCATGTAACCGGAGTCCCTTCCAGGTAGTCAGATTGGTTTAATCTGATTTATCAGAACATTAGATGCCTTTTTAAACACTGTTTCTTGGATGTATTGTATTAGTTTCCTGGTTTGGGAGCCTGTAGGGGGCACTCAGGTCATATTGTCCAGTTTTGCTATGTAACAATGTAGGATAGAAACTCCTTTTTTAAATGAAACATGAGAAACCTCCATAATCACGTGACTCCAGGAGTTAGGGGTTTAAGCAAAGTGTCAAGTGTGGCAATAAAGTCCTATAACTTTACAGTACCAAGTCAGGCCCTACTTTGCCAGCTGACTGCCTTTGGGCATGCCTGAAACCCAGCTTTAAGGGCAGCAATGTGGGGTATGCTCTATCCGGACAGTGCCACGCTCCTGTTTTGCACACTCACGATCCAAGATCACAAAGGAGGAACATGCACAAATTCCCACTGTCAGCAACCTATTTTCCACTGGGCAAACTGCCTTTCCCCTCCTCCAAGTTGCTGGGAGGGAGCAGAGCAAAGCTTTTATTTACCAAACCATTTTACTAACGCCCTGTCGCATTTTTGTGGTTGTTGCCTGCTTGGCTCCGGGGGAGATTCAAACTTGTACACTGTTTTCACCAGAGGACCGTCAGATTTTCACGGGTGAATAAATGTGTGAATTCTCATGCAGGCCAACACTTTTTGCAAACAATTCCTCAGGGTTCAGAAAACTTAATTTTCACCTCTTGTTAACTGCTGGTGGGATATTCAGAGAGCGATGATATTTCCTTGAGTCTTCACATGTTCACTGGACAGGAAAAGTATTATTATTATTATTATTATTACTGTTATAATGACTATTATTATTAAGTTATAATTGAAAGGGAAACATTTAACTTGAAATGCAAAGTCCAGGCATTGCACACAGAAGCTGCAGATTACTTTAATGGAAAGCTTCAGGCTTGTCGCCTTTCCCCCTTGGGGACCTCCTTGTCTTTTGCTGTTATTCTAAAACTTCTCCCCGAGACAGCCATGCTACGCAGGGAAATTGTTGTGGCTGGGCTACGTACATCTTGAACTGACACAGAGAAGAATTAGCAAGGATGGAGAAGGGAGAGGGAATATTCAAAGGCAGGACAAAGCTAAGCTAAGTCTGCTGTGAAGGAGGTGGATCTAGGTGTGGATGATGCTGATGTTGCATTAGAAATGCCTGGGTAGGTGGAGGGTCTCGTAGCAACATGGACGGCAGTGCTCTTAGCAAGAGTATGCACTGCCCTTGCACTGGAGAACTGGATTTTCTACACTTACAACAGAGTGGAGTCTGCAAGGTGAGGCTGCCATGTCTTGCAGCATTGGGTCTCACCAGTGCAAGGCAGAAAGGTGGGTGGAGAAAACCAGCCGGTTGTTCCTCTTGATGAAATACCTGCTGAAGAACCAAACTGCCAAAGGAATGAGGACTGGGCTTGGGAACCAGGAACAGATTAAATTCTAGCTCCACTTGCATGGCACTGGGTAGCTCACCCAGCGTGGTATCCAACTCTGGCTTTGGGGAACCACTTTACAGCACTTTGGGCTATGTAAGCCCCACATAGGGGATGCACCACTGATGGTGTGGGGAGTCCTGGTGGAGAGAGGTCAGGAGATGTGCAGTGCTGCCAACCCTGTGACTCTTCCCCCAAAGACTACAGGTATCTCAAGTAGTCCTCGGTCACAAGAGACTCCCCTTCTTTTTCTCCAGTTTCGGGATATAGTGTAGGAAAGCCCCATCCCAGAGGAATGGAAGCAGTAGCTTAGCAAGAAGCACTGATGTACCAGGGGAGCGGCTCTGGCCTCTACTGCTATCTTCCCCAGGCTGGAGGGGAGGCAAAGATCCTTCCAGCACCCGGCCTGGTCCTGGACTCCAGCAGGGAAGGGGCTGGGCCTTGCAATGAAGTTGCTTGGAGGAGGTCCTCATTTCAGGGAAGCTGAGAGCAGTAGGAGGGACCACTGGGCTTGTTTTTTTCCCCGTGAATTGGGCCTTTGGGTTGATTTTTTTCCAGTGATGTGGAGTGGGTTGGAAATGAAATGGGTGAAGGGGAGAGCTGGGCTTTTGGTTTCTGCTTTGGGTTCTTCCTCCCCAAGGAAGCTGATTTGCTGCAACTGGGGTGAAACAGTGTCCCATCATGGGCAGGAGGATAAAAAGCTGAGCCCCTCTGCTCCCTCACTCTGTTTCCTTTCCCAGGTATCTCTAGGCAGATATGCAAATATTATATAGATTTTAAAGGTATTTTGAGCTATTTTTTAAAGCTTTGCTCTGAGCATGCTGGCGTGTACAGGATCTGTGTTCACTTGAAGGAACTGACCCTGACATCTCGCCCAACTGCCTCCAAGAGGTGGGAGTGTGTCCGGATGAGCCAGGGCTTGTTGGATCTGTCATTTCCCCTTGATTCATAATGTGGGCTGAGATTTGGGAATTAACCACGCTATCATGCAATATTAATATTTTCCGTGCTGTTTGGAGTCATTTCTTCTTCATACATTTGCTGGAATGATGCCGGTGTTCAAGGACTTGCTCGTTTGGTGGCACTCATTAATCTTGTACGTTTTATTTGATACTGAAGTTATGCCTCATGGGGGTGGGTTGGTTATTTGATATGGGGCAGGGAGGGCACTACTCTTCACAGCCAAACGACTCTTGAGTGGCATTTGTAGTTGACTTCGCCACCCTACGCGGTAGCCCTAGGAAGCAATGCAAGGCTGTGCAAATGCGACAAAAGGCAAATTTGCTGCCAGTCCCAAGGCATGGTAATGAACGGTGCTCATCATTTTTATCCTGTTCTGTTTTTCTCCTTTCTCCAGATCCATAGCTTCTCTTCTCCATCCCCATGAGCTTTCTACTGCTGTGACACTTGATCTGTGGAAGGGCTTCTGACACCAGCTGGAAGTAGGAATTGCACGTTATTTCCCTGCATGGCTGTTAATACAGCCAATTGATCCTGATTTCCATCATCCTGGTTATCACAGTTTCGAACCAAGAACCCAGAGCCAACCACCCTGCATGGAAACGTGCCCCAGCTGTCAATCCTCGTCTGCCGTCTTCAGACCACGGATAAGACTATGATGGAAGACTATTCTCCTCCACTGCGAGGGGCTGTCCATGGTGCTGAAGTTGTAGTCTGGAGCCCACCATGAGGAACGTGTCATGTTCCTTGATGCTCTGTCTCAGAAGCTGTGCAGGTCGGTGAACGCAGCCCAGACCTGGCAGGCAGCACCCCCAGAAATCTTTCTTTCTTGTCTTTTTCCTCTTTTAGCCCCCTCTCTCCTGCCTTCGCGATGATGTTATTTGCACTCATTAAAAAACAGTATTTGCAGCCCAGGGCTGAACCTCATGCATCTCATCAATGTGATGGTCAGTACAGGCTTCCTCTCTCACCTACCAGTGCCCCTCAAGTCGGGAGCAGCAGCATCTTCTTCTTCTGGTCCAGTGCTGAAATGCCAGCACTTGCACCAAAGTCAGTTGGGTCCAGCCACTTGCTCTGCAGAGACCTGCGAGCAGGCTGCATTGCATCTTATGAGGATCTGAGTAGATCTAAAGGAAGCAATTCACTTCATTCATGAATTCAGACAAACTGTAGCCTCTAGAGTGCACTGGGACAGAGGTGCTGGGTATGTGGGGGCCCAAGGGTCCTAGCCCCACGTGTGAAGAGGGCTGTCACCTGAAATGTGTAAAACTTTCCACATGCCCATCATTTTAGGTCCTCTCAACCCCCTGGCAAAAATAAAAGTCAGTGCCTATGCACTGAGCCATGGTGTTACCTACCCCTACAACAGCCACAATCAGTGCAGAAGATTTTTTGTTCTAAGGGACGACAGCTGCAAGCAAAGGGTTACATGGTGATATCCAGGGCTTTCAGGGGAGCTTGTACTCATGCTCTCAAGGTGTTGAGTCGATGCTGTTCACGCTTCCTACCCCCATGTCATGGAGTGAGTTAAGTATTTGCCGTCCTGGTCTGCAGAAGGGAGACACAAAGAAAACTGTAGCAAGTCTGTGGCCAAACTGGGATTCACTCTCAACATCTGGCATCCAAGTGCTAGACCATGCTATGGGTCATCCCGGCCTTCACCCTGCCTGCCTCCTTCCCCATCTTCAGCCATTTTCCCCCTCCTCTAACTCTCTCCTGTTTGCTCTTGAACTCCTTCATTGGCAGGGCACCGTGTGCCAAGAAAGCTGACTCCTGACCATTTGCCAAGGCTCACTTTCTCTCCCTGGCACACAGATAAGATGTTAATAAGGGAGAAGGCATTGGACACAAAGGGTGAAACATCATGTCCCAAGCCATCAGTTTGTCAGAGCTGGCATTGTCTAGGAATGGCTTTTCCCTTCCAGTTCTTCTCTTCCCACCGTAGTCTTTTAGGGTTGATGATAATGTTGCTAGTGTCCATTTTGTGCTCACATTGGATTACAAGTGAGCAGTGAAGTGAATACTGATGCATTATTCCTCTTTCTGAGGGATAGAAATGGTCTCTGACTTGTAATGTAGAAGAAATAATTTGGTAGTTGATGCATCCAGTCTGGTTTCTTTCTTTTTGTTTTTGGACCTCAAGATCAAGAGCTGCTTTAAACTCAGTTTTGGGCAGGAGTCTCTGCAGCTCAGAGGCCTGCATGCCCCTGGGATGGGTGCTGGTTCCACGGGCAGGGGCAGGCAGGGTGCAAATCACGGCTGTGCCCCGGCCCCAAACCGTCACATCCCAAGATCCCAGCCCTAGCTCCAGATGCAGCTCCCCACCTGACCCTCCACCTTGCCCACATGGGTCCTGGCTGGTCTCCATTCAGGCAGGCTACCGGGCCAGGGCTGGGGTGACCGCATGGGGCTGGGGCTGATCCATGATCTGCTTCCTGCATGCCCCTGCCCATGGATCCTGTACCTGTTGCAGGGGCATGTGGGCAGCGGATCACAGCTCTGCCACAGGGCCGAGCCCCATGCAGTCACCACTGGGGTCTCACTGAGTCCACTTGCCCATCTTATTCCCAGATACTGCGCCCCACCAGCCTGCAGCCCCTTCTCTGGCCCCAGACCAGGATCCCACCATGCTTGGTGCTTTGCAAACCCAGGGGAAAAAAGAGGTCATGCCTCAAAGAGCTGGCAACTGAAGGAGAGTCTAAGATTGCAACGCCCCATCAGTACCTGTTCATCCTGCATCTCGGCCTGGCGATAGGATGATGTTTTCTGTATGATTGTCTGGTTTCAGTGTTTCTTACTAGAGGGACCGTCAGGAATGTCTCTGGAGGCAGGAGGAGATGCTAGGTTGAAACACTCACCTAACAGCTTCTACGTCGGAGGTCTTAAGGGACCATGCCAGAACCGTTTGCTCTGATGAGTCTGGTTTTTAGCTGTCTATGGGTCCTGATTGGCCAGGAGGAATCGAAGCCTACCAAAATTTGCTGACTTGAAAGGGCTCTTCCATCTGGAGTGCATGGGGACAGCTCTGAGAGCTGTGCTCAGGAGAAGCTAAGTCTCTGAAAGTCGCCTTTGAGGGAAGGTAGGATTTGGGTTGGGCTGTTGTTTTAAGGTCCTTCCTTCTCTAAGGCTGCAGAATAAAATGGCCTTGTTGTAAGGAGATTGTGGGGAATAGGTGTCTGAAGGGACGAAGCAGAGATGCCCCAGGTCTCATTAGTCCCAAGGGAATGGAGAGTGGTTGCTATAACTAGTGTGTGGTCTTCCCGTGCCCTGTGGGTTTTGGTGTCTGGGTCTCTAACTAGTTACTCCTTGCTTCCTTTACAAGTGTCCTTTCAAATCTTGCAAAATTTCTTTGGCCTTCATGAAGTTCATATTTTTGTTGGTGAGTTTGGGCCATCTCTAGGCTTCAGAGGGAAATGTGGAGCCATGGAGGACCTGGGCAACAGCATAAGCTCTTCCTACAGGCGATGGGGGTGAATCCACTTTCTAACTCGCCCAAGCCCCCTCATGCTGTGTGTACTGCAGGGTACAGGGTGTCTTTGGAGGAGAAAGACATTTTCCCTAAATTGAATATAGGATTATTTCTGCTGTAACCTAGAGTGAGCAGGTGACATGGTAATTACTTCTAAGTATAATCAGTAAGTAATCTGCAGTCGATATAATTACTACCTGTATGCACACTATGTAATTACTGTATTATGTAGTGACAAGGTATTTACCAACCATATCTTTCTTAGTTACTAAGTAATTTGAGAGAATTTACATGATATTTATCTCTGGGAAAAGAAAAGCAATGTTACTAGGATTTCTGTTGCAAGTTGTCAACTTTCTGCTGGCCAAAACTGGGTGGGGGAGGTTTGACGGTAAGGAAGTTGCAGGGGGTGCATCTCAGACACTTTTCTCTTCCTTTTTTTGGTTAGTATTTTCCAAAATTCACTGTGTTTGTGGCATCGCAGGTAAATGGTAATAGCTCCATCTTGCAATCCAGGCTGTGTTGCAACAAGTCCAAATATAAACAGACCAAAAGCTCCCTGTTTCTTGGACAAATGGGAGTTTAAGGTTTCAAAGAAGTCAGACATTTCTGTTCTTCCCTGGTGTGTTACGGGATGGGTTAAAACTTCTTCTATTCTTTATTCCTTTTTGCATTAGTTGCTTTTCCTTAATGGTATTTGTTCAGACAATATTGAAAGGATAAGAACAAAGCTCTTTTGTTTTCTGCAAAGGGATAGTTCTAACCATAAAAATCATAGGAAATGAGGGCTAGAAGGGACCTCAGGAGGTCATATCTAGTCCAACCCCCTGCCCCAACTACATCATCCCAGTCAAGGCTTTGTCTACCCAGGTCTTCAAAACCTCCAAGGATGGAGAGTCCACCACCGCTCTGGATCACCTGTTCTGGTGTTTCACCACCCTCCTAGTGAGATAATGTTTCCTAATATCCAACCTCAACCTCCCTTGCTGCAGCTTGAGCCCATTGCTCCTTGTCCTGTTATCTGCCCCTACTGAGACCAGCCCAGCTCCATCCTCTTTGCAGCCCCCCTGCAGGGAGGTGAAGGCTGCTATCCAATCCCCTCCCTGTCTCCTTTTTTTCAACCAAAATCAGCCCAGTTCCCTCAGCCTCTCCTCACCAGTCCTGTCCCCCAGCCCCTAACCATTTTCATTGCTCTCCACTGGACTCTCTCCAACTTGTCCACATCTTTTCTGTACTGGGGAACACTACAGATCCCTCTGCATTTAAACCATTCCCCATTTTTTTGTTAACTGAAGGCATTAGCCAGGTGGTCCAAGTGAATGCAATTGAGGGCTACAGAAATAGCGCTATCCTAGTTAAATTTCTGTTGTTAACATTTTATTATCATCAGTCATCCTCACCTTGTTTGCTATCTGCCAAATCAATGTGAGGGGTGGGTCCATGCATTCCCAACTGAAGCCAAAGATGACAAAGTGGGAACCGGGTAGGAGACGATGTGAAAGTTTATGGGTCTCTGCTGAACTCTCTCATGTTAACACATTGCATTTGCAGTGAACTACATTTCTTGTGCGTGGTCTGCAAACTGCGGTACTGATCTGCAGTGCTCCTGCTAAGTGGATTTTTTTTCTTGTAGGCAAAAACCAAGGTGCAGAGATGTCAGGAATCTGATTTCCAAAACAACTTGGGAGCCAGGTCTCCGAGGCATTCAGGAGCAGAAATCTGGCTCTGAGAGGTGGTCTGCTTTGGGGAATCTGTGTGCACGCCAGGGGCTGCATGCCACCCAGTCTAGGTAAGGTGCTCTTTCTCTGTTGTATGCTAATTTGAAATAAAAACGTAAAACAGAGCCAGACTTTATGGAGTCTGTTCAAGCCTCACTTCCCCCTTCCCAGTGGAGTTTTCAAGCTTTTTTTTTTTCTTTATTAGCCTTAGGAAGAAATTAATTTTCATCAATACAATCCAAATGATTCACCCTAACTTGTGGAAACGCTGTACTGGAGAAGAAAGAGCTCCCAGTCTCCTCCATGACTCACTGTGTTCTTGGATGCGGCCCATCACAATGTATCAGCAAATCATGTTATATATGAGAAGGGAAGAGGACGCAGCTGGCGAAGTGCAGGAAACATTGGAGATCATGGCCTGTACTGGTCAGTGCTGGGGAAAGCATCGTCTCCTTTTCTATCTAGCCATCTACCTTGCATGTAAAATGTTGCTAGCTTTAGACCCGGAGAGATGAGCAGTGCTACCAGGCGGGTACGGGATGCCAACTCAAGGAGCCTGTGTGTTGCACAAGGTTGTACCACGCAAGGTAACACCCGGGCATTCATAACTCAGCTAGAGAGATCTCTGAGCATTTGAAACCTGATGCCCAAGTTGCGGATGAGTAGGAAAGGAGGTATGTGTGTGCGCGTACAGTTGCTTTAAAATGACCCATTTGGTGGAAATGTAAAAAGCAGAAAAGCAGCAAAAAGAAGCTAAACCATCCACTGGTTATAAAATAGGACATGGGAGGGGAGGAGGGGCTTCCGTGATGCAAAAATGCATTGGCTTTGTTAAAAATAAACTCTGCTACAGGATGAGTCATTCCAGTTGCGTCTAGGCCTGGCCCTTCTGGCCAGCTTCATAGCTCTTGTGTTACTATGGAGGGGCATAATCCAACAGCAGTTGATAGACACATCAGGACATGAAGGGGGCTGGAATAGCGTAGAGACCTGCCCTCTCTCCATTGTGTTGGCCTGGACTTTGGAATAACCTAAAGATAGCAAAACCTTCCCAGTTTAGCCAGTAGCTACCTGCATGGCAGGGCAGGCTTTTGGGCAAGGAGAGAGTTGAGTGAGGCCTCACACCAGGCAGGTGTTTTGTATGAAGGGGGCCCGATCCAGCCATCTGAAGTCAATAGAGTCCCCTTGAGTTATGGGTGAAGCATTGGGTTGAACCAACAACGGCTATCTCAAGAATTGGGTTTAAAGGGCTGTTAGTACCCGAGAGCACAACAAACACAACCAATGTCTCGAGTCACATCAGTAATGATGGATTTCCCCCTTGTTGCAAGTGCAGGGTGTGGAGAGACCCCTTCTGCTGTGGGGTTTAATTGCTGGTGAACCAGAGCTGGTTGCCACTATATTCTGCACCAAGCTGCAGCCGGAAGTGCAGGTGCGGTTCGTTAGGGTTAAAATGTTTATGCAACATTATAGGTAAATCAGGTGCAGCCCAGAGGGCTCCTGGGGAGCTGCCAGCTGAAGGCTGAACTTAGCTTAAGGTGGTGTCGATGGTTTCCAGAAGGGTTGCGTGTTTGGGCGACTTTGTGCAGTCGCTTTGTCAGCCTGCAGTGTTCCCTGCCGGTCTTGAGCCAACCAGCGATGCTGCCGGCGGGGAAGGATCTGGATGGTTTTTGCACTGGGGGTAAACTCAAATTCACACCTCAGTCTTCAAGTCCCATAATTGTGATGAGCAACTGTTTGGCAAAGAACAAATACTGGCACAACAGTCGCTAGCCGTTGCCATGCTTGCATGAGAGAGCGAGCGGGGAGAACGTGGAAGGGAACAGGAGACGTGGAGAGATTAACTCTTAAAGGCAGAGACATCCTGGTTCTGTGCTCCTGGGGAATTATACCGCATACAGCAAATGCGATTGCACTGCGAGGCCATTATTGAAATATATGGACTGGAAAGGTCAGCGAGGAATCAATTAAAGGAGCCTGCTTGACCCCCTTCCAAAAATAATTATAATAATGTCCCCTCTCAAAGCTTTCATGGAGAGACGTGCAGGGGAGGGACTCTTAATGAGCTGAAGTGCGGGGTAAACGGCGCGGCACTGATGAAGGTTGCCTTCCTCTCTGCACCAGTGTCCTCTGTTAGCAGAGAGAGCCCGTGCCCGGATGAAGCATCCAAGCAGACCTCGAAGGAAGCAGCATGGAAGCTAGAGCTAATTGCACACCGCTGCCATCTATACTTGCAAAAATAAAACTCGGTGTGCTAAAATGGAAAGTAATTAAGACGTATTTCATATCTTGGCGCGGCCCTGCATTTTTATTTTGGTGCGTGCAACTCGGCAGGCTCCTCACGCGTTGGTGCTGTTGCTATATTTCAGCGCAATAAATCCCAGTGCCTTTGGAAGCTGACAGCCCGTTCGGGATGTGATCGGAAAATCAACGGACGCGCTCTCAGGTTTAGTACTTGTCTGCGTCAAGCCTCCTCCTATCCATCAAGATAGGGCACGCCCCGCAAGCGCGCAGAGCGCTGCAACCTTCTCGCCAGGGGAGCTGGAAATCAGAGATTGGAGCGGGGGAGGAGGGAAAGGAGAAATGGGGGAAGGAAAAAAAAAATCCCAAGCTGCCACCGCAGCGTTCCCATCCAAGCCCCAAGAGACCCAGGCAGCCCCAGTCCAGCCCTGCGAGTATTTATTACACTTGCAGAAGGGGAAGCTTGTCAAGGTTGACAGGTGCAGAATTGAACCCATCTGAAAATAAATAACCATGCATTTAAATCTCCCCGCCTGAAGGCTCTCGCCGCACTTCCCCAGCCCCAGCTGCAGCTCTGGCAGGATGAAATCCCTGAGATGGAGAGGGCTAAAGAGCTGGCAGGGCTCTGGGCTGGCTCTCTGCTGAGCATCTCATGGGCATGAGAAACAGCCACAGACTTTCCCTCAAGTACTGTCTTCACCTGTGAGACAGATGCTTGCTGCCAGCTGGGATGGGGTCTTCGAGGTGTTAATCTCCATGCCCTGCATGGAGGGGAGATCTTGGCAAGGTCTTCACATGGTGGGGGTCAGATGCCAGCTTTGTGGGAGCCCAAGAGATGCTGGATTTGCTCACAAGGCAATGGTGTTTTGGCCTCCAGCTGAGTTTCAAGGGCCCCTGTCCGCAGGGGAGTGGTACAACAGGCAGTATCTGAGGGCTCCTTCTCCAACCCAGGTCCACGTTCACAGGAAGCCACCCCAACAGTGCTGCTGTTGGTGATGGTGCAATCCAGGAACAGCTACTTTGAAGCCTGCTGGTACAGCTTTGCTCTAAGCTGCTGGGATCTACACTTAAGCCCATAAAAACAGCCTCATCCAAAACAATCTCTAGCTGTGGCTGCGACTCTGCATCTAGACAGCTGCCAGTGATGTTGAGAAGAAAGGAGAGAGCCCTGTGCTGAGAGAGCATGCATGCTGTCGTAGAAAATAGCTTTGCTCCAAAAGACACCTGTTGCAGTTGCAGAGCGGTGCCCGGGGAGCGTGCGCGTTGCAGCAAGAGGTTTGCCCAGAGAGCGCGCCTGGCACAGCACAAAAGCACTTGTCCTGCTGGGGGAGATTGCAGGCTGCGGCGGGGAGGATTTCCTCTCTGCGAGAGGATGCATGTTATTAGGGAGCTCCCCGCTGGGCCTGGGGTAGGCGGCGTGCACGATGCAGTCAACAGCCTCGCCAACCCAAATTACAGTCGCAGCACGAGTCAGACTCGGAAGCCAGCTCAGATGCATGGGCTGCTGTCGCTGGAGTGACTGCCGTGCAGATGTGCATCCAGGGAGGGTCTCTATAGGGATTGCTCTCTGGCTGCGAGGACCGTGCATGCTGCTGTTCAGGCTGGTCTGTACCGTGTCCCAGTGGGTCTCCAGCAGCTGTTTTCAAACCCAACGGAGGCCAAGAGCTCATGGACGGGGGCTAGGATTGAATGCAAAGCTGTCTCATGAGTGGACTTCTGGCATGTCAGCAGAGCTGAGGGGTCAGGGCAAGCGTGGGGGTGGCTCAGCCCTTCCCCTTGCAAACCTGCCAGCCTTGTGGCTTAGACAAACTCTTAGGGAGCATCCGGGGGGTGAAAGGGTTTTGCCCGAGGCCTGCATGTCTGCCAACAGGGCCAGTGTGCCTTGGTAATGTGTCAAAGTTGGACACGGCATGAACTGCCCCCATAGTGCTGCCTGTGGCTGCTTCCTTGTTTCTTCCCACAGCTCTTCCTTTCTCTTGTTGCACCTTGGGGAGTGAGCTGGAGGGAACAATAGGAAAGGAAATGAAAGTACAGGTTGGAGGGTGTCTCTCCTCTTCTGTGGACAAGACTGGCAGGGGATTTCTGCAGTGTCCTATACATGCACAGTGTGGACCCAGCAGCGCTGCCTGAACCGAAGCATCTCCCCAGCACCTGCCGTGATGCACCCCTGTGGTAAACGCATCTGTTTAAAAGGTCCTTCCCTGCTAAACCAGCAAGCACAGAGTCCAGGAAACCATGTGCGCCCATTGCTCTGCCTCTGGGTTTCCTTCTCCTCACCTCTCTTCCTGCCTTTGTCCTGTTTCTCGCTCCCTCACTTCCATTCCTCTCATGCCTGAGCTGATTGACGCCTGATCTCCTGGCTAGTTTGGCCCTCGAAAGTAACCTTCAGTTAACTGCTCACATAACTTGCCTGTCAGTTCTCATAACAGTCAGGGCATCGTTTTTGCAAGCGCTCTACAGTAAAATTACCCGCTTTGCTCTTGTCAAGCAAATGAGCCCTGAGGCTTATACGAGAGCCGCTAATGCTCACGTCGGGACAGGGCTCGGTGGACTGGGCGGCCTGCTGGGGCTCCGCTTCTGAATCCGCCGTGCCCCTGCTGAGCGGCTGAGGTTTAATTAACCTTCGTTAGCTCTCCTAGGGATAACGTTTGCCCTGATTTTTGTCGCATGGGGTCAAGTGGAGCTGGGGACTGCTGCAGTGCCTTCATTACACTGTTGGGATCCTGCTATATTTTTATCTACAGAACAGAGATCATTTATGATTTAATAACCTATGATTGATTTGCATATACGCACCTGTGGCTGTAGCTGTGGGGGAATTAGGGACAGACCAAACGAAGCTACGACTGAGTCTCTTAAGGTGGATGGCAGTGACCTTGGGCGGATGGCAGCGACCTTGGGCATGCAGGTTCTCTCTTCTCCCTGTATCAAAGGTCTCCTTGGAGAGGGAGAGTGGGGGGGAAATAAAGGTAAAATGAAGTTTCCTTTCTAACCCTGATAACGTAATTTGTCTTGCTAAAGGTGCAGCCAGCTTGGAGAGAAGGATGAGAGTCTATCAAAGATAATGCCATGTGATGCGAATGCACCTATTTCTGGTGAGTCTTGGTGCTTCAAAGCTGGGGACCGCGGTTCTTATTTTCCCACTAGGTACCCGAGACGGAGAGAGGGTAAGTGATGTGCTGGGGGCGCAGCATGGCAATGAGTGGCTAAGGTGAACCCAGGACCCGGGCTTCTCCACCTTTGCTTTAATCACCTCTTAATAGGGGGCTCGTTGCTGAATTGTAAGCAAGAAGGATCCCTCCCTGAGACCCCATCCACTTTTTGCCTTTCTAATTATAACTCCCTGTTGTCACGTGCTGCTGACATTTCCCGGCTCAGTCCCTTCCCGCCTGCTGAGCAAAATCCCATCGGCTCTTTTTGCTTTCTGCTTATAAGAAGTTATCCGCCCCTCACTCTTCCAGTGCTCTCCAGCCAGGAGGATGAGGAGAAAGGGCTTGGTGGCATCAAAGGGACCCAGTTCTGGCCTCATACCCAATACCAGCATTGGTTTTGGTGCAGTTACTCAGGAGACTGGCTTAAGGTGCAGGAGCTTTATTGGCCCAGAGCTCAGTCCAGCAGCAGAGGGGAGGCAATAGGTACCTTCCTGATGCAGGGCCCTGCCAGACCTCCGTTTGGCCCCCAGTGTAGGTTAAGGTGGCCTTTAGGCTGTCCCCAGCTGCCTGGGTGAAATAATCAGCTGTGGTGAATCTTCCAGGGCAGTCTTGAATTTTGGGGCTGTGTCCTCTGACAGTGCATGAAAATGTTGGCCCCAAATAGGCCAGTTCCCCTGGGAGAGACAGCACTGCTGTGGGTTACCTGGAGAGGGTGAATCCATCTCTGCACACACTTCCCCGACGGTCCTGTGCTGGGGGCGAAGGGGCCTAGGAGCTTGGTCAGGATTGCCCCAGCCCCAATCTGGAGTGAAGCTATTTGGTGTGCACCGCACAGTCCATGTTGCTGTGGCTGGGCTTCAAAGGGTCTTAGCTGAGAAGAAGGGTGGATATGGGGTGCCAGTCAATGCTTACCATTCAATGGGCACAACTACACATACACTTTACTGTGCAGTAGCCTATTTTATTACATATTAAAGCGGTGCATAAAAACCTATGCTGTTATGCTAATGCGCAGTAAAATAGGCAACTGCACCTTGAAACCCATGCTATTATGTTAATGCGCAGTAAAATAGGCAACTGCACCTTGAAACCCATGCTGTTATGCTAATGCGCAGTAAAATAGGCAACTGCACCTTGAAACCTATGCTGTTATGCTAATGCGCAGTAAAATGGGCTACTGAGCATTAAGCATCACCTAAGAAGCGTGCACCTGTGCTACTATGCATTAGGGCAGCCTAACGCACCTTAATTTATTACCTCACATGGCAGATCCTCAATTTAATGCGCATTAGGAAAAGTGCATCAATGCACATGTAGATGGGCCCCATGTTCCCAGACACGTCGGCTTAGTTGAGAATTGCCGGCTACTAGTTGCATGCCTACCACCAAGGACTGTGTGAAGAGCTCAGGTCTCTAGGGAAAGGAGGCTAAGCCCAGCAGGCCTCTGCATTTGCATATACAGCTCGATGAACTTGTTTAGAAGGCACAAAGCAGTCCAGGTCCCAGGATATCGGGATCAAAGCACATCCCTTCCAGTCCTCGGTATAAGCAACCCAAGACACCAAGGCCTCTGCAGTAATCGAGAGGTGAAACTAAGACAAGCCTTTGCTTCTCCCCCTATCCAGGATCACCAGCTGGCCTGCTGCCTTGTGAAGGATGAATCCCCCGGGCTCCCCTGAGGCCTCTTTGCTGACTCTTCCTCTCTATCTCCTCATTTGCTGGCCGCTTCTGCTAACAAACAAACACGGTCTCCTTGCCAAGTTTGCGGGAGAAACGCTCCCCCGTCCTGATTTCATCACTGCAGTGCTCCGGCAGGTCAGTGTCAGCAATCAATCCCCACCTCGCCAGCCTGAAAATGAACAGATTAGAGCAATAAGGAGGTGTTTAACAACGTCGGGGCCAGAACGGCCATCAGCATTTTTTCCGGGTGTGTGGAATCAGCAAATAAGCTGAGATCACCTTTCCGAAGCTGTCAGAAGGGAAAGGTACCATGCCTGACAGTTTAATTGCTTTGCTTTCTCTCCAGCTCCCCTGGATTTCTCTTTCAAACTGGAGGTGCCTTCTGGTTGCCAAACAAACGCTATCTTTAACGGCAGTTGTTTGCGGCTCGGCAGCGCACAGGGATCTCGAGGAGTGAGGGAAGTAAATTGCCGGGGAAGTGGTCATTAGCACATATTTACATAGGTTAATTGCACTGGATAATGAAGGATCAATTTATTTTTTCAATGGGGCAGCTGATGGAGACACCTCCATGATGGCACTTCTCTCCACCTTTCATGGTATTCATCAGTGTCTCTCCCTACCTGGCAGATGGAGACTGCTGCATTTAGCTAAGCCTCTGCCTCACCTTGAAATGTGGGACGTGCAAATAAAGGGATGCATAAATGAACGGGTTTGTTTGCCCCTGCGGGCAGTATTTAGCTTCCCAGATATCAGACTTGCAGGCTTCTGAGTGCAGCTGCAGACATCAATGCCTGCGCCCACAGTTTTGCAGCCGTGTTCATCTGCCATTAAATATTCCCCTTGACAGGGATGAAGGTTGGTGTTGGGAAGTGAAAGTTTTCATCTCTGAAGTCCATTTTTCTTGCTCTATTTGGGGGTGGGGGGCACCAGTTAATCGCATCTTGCTAGAGATGCTTGCAGTTTGGACTATCCAGGGTTGGTTAGACTGCTGTGAAACCTGGACTATATCTAAGCTAGGACTAGGAGGAGTCCAAACACAGCACCGGGTTCATTTACTGAGTTCTCAGCCAGGCTTTGCAGCCTGCACTGACCTCCCAATTGCTACGGCTGGACTGGACAGCTACTGGCACTTGAGCCAGCAGTCCTCAATATAGACATTGCCTTTCATTTGGCTGTGATCCATTATGCCCAATGACTTTGCAGATGCTTGGGTATCGTGGTGGTGGGTGGAACGGATGAATTTAAATATATCAGGATGCTGACCTGGGATTGAAATCCATTGGCAGCCTGTTAGCAAATGGCTTCTGCATGTCACCAAAGGCAGAATTTTATCTGTCTTCCCAGCGAAGCAGCTGCTTTGAGGAAAGCAAGTGTCGATGGCCCAAGGTTTAAAGCTTTGTTTAGGTTTCATCACTGCATCTGGGACAGTTCATGCGATTCTTCTTATGCTTCTTAAAACCAACACCTCGGGACATTTTTTGGCTATGTTATCATCAGTATCCAATATAATGTCACCGTGAAGAATGCCCCCCACGTGGAAGCCCGATTACCTGCCTGCACCCACGAATCAAACAGCTGAGCAACCGACAACTTCAACTGCAGCGGCAAACGGATCCCTTTTTTAATGCATGCATTTATTTGCAATTTTGTGCGCGCCAAGCTGTGTTCGCTCGGCGTTCGTTCCTCTTGGATTGCTTGCGAACCAGCCATGGAGGCGAGGCGCGACTCTGGAGGAGCAAAGCTGCTCTCTGGGGAGGGAAGAAATCTTTCCGCTTTCATGCAATTAGGGATGTTGGGAACCAGAGACTTGATTCAGCTTCATCCAGAACAGCGGCATGTAATGATAACAATTAATTCCTGTAGAATTAGAATTATCAGAGAATCTCCTGTTAATTAACGGAGCCTGAGAGGTAACATAAGTAAATGAATGGCAGTGAGCACTTCAACTGCAGCTGAAACATCACTTGACTTCATGCCTCTAAGTGAAGTCAATGGATTGTAGCCATGTACGCGGTGTCTGAGTTTGGTCCCAGGCCATTCTGGGACGGTTGTGGGGTGATCTATGGGTAGTGCTGCTGACTTCGATAAAACACTTCTGATTTCCCCAAGTGACGGGGAGAGAAAAACTGTAAGGACAACTGGAGAGAGATCCTTGCATTGGGATAAAGGTGCTGGGCTGCCCACCCTATTCCCGACGTTAGCCACAGCTATCAGTTCCTCCCTTTCAGAAGTGTTACATTAAAATAAAAACTCACTAGGCTCCTCCATTTTTATTACATGAACTAGGAGCAGAAATGTACCTGGAGGGCACACATAATTTATTTAGAAATATGGGAATAGCAAAATATCTGCAGATGATAAAAAAAAAATAAAAAAGAATAAAAAAAAATTACCCAGTTCTCAGGGTTATTTGATCTGCTAATTATCCATCCTTCAGAATCCATTATTCACACTTTCTTCTCTCCTCCAAGAAACCTCTTTGGCAGGCATATATTTTTCTACAAGATCAGCAGAAAGGAAAAACGAGAGTCTGCGAGTTGTAAACCATTAATAGGGAGGAAACACACAACAGCTTTCTCCGTTTGATCTTTTCCGCTAAGCGGGTCTGGATGGTGAATTCCACCAGGGAAGAAGGAAGCGAGGCTTTAGCAACTGAGAAGAACAAAGTTTTGCAAATGTGGCTTTGCAAAATTAAACAAACGAGCGCACACTGCAACTCGGCTTGAAGCACATTTGGCATCCAGGCAAAGGCACAGCAGAAATGTTTGTGCGTGTTGACAACAGCCTGATCTGGGATCTCCCGCAGCTCGGCGCTACAAAGGCAGCCTGTGCATCAAAAGCAACACCATCTTGCATCTTATTGTCTGAGCAGAAAGCCAAGCCGCCGAGGTGGCCGAACGTGGTGCAAAACCACTGGAGGACGTGGGAAGATCCCCACCACTTTCCATGAGCTTCAGAGTGGCGTATAGCGGTCGTTATTGGTGAATCCAAGCCTGCTGCAAGGTCTGATGCCCTCCGAGTCCTGACATGTGCAATGGTTCATAGCCTGTAGGCAGCGTCACTAGCAAGTTCTCAGTTATACACAGAGGATAGCGATCGGACAGCGATGACAGAAGGGAGGCGTCAACCACGGGAGGAAATGATGCAATAGCTACGTTACATTTTGGATAAGCATGATGGGAAATCACGCTTTGGATAAGCATGATGGGAAATGCTTTGGATAAGCATGATGGGACTTGCCAAGCAGCACAATCTCTGTATTGAACAACGAATTGGTGGTGCTGCCCACGTTCAGGTGATGTGGCCACGTCTCGCTGCAAAAGTTTAGGGAACTGGAGCCTAACAGGGATGACTGACTTAATCTGAGTTTCCATGGGCGTCCTCTCTAGTTCATGTGAGGCAGAATGGGGGATCCAACGGAGTTGGAAAGCCATTGAATGTGAAGAGTTTGGCAGACTAATGAAGTATTACTTGCCACGATTATCTTTCATAGGTCAGGAATTCATAGGCCTGAGCCCAAACATGTGGGAAGTAAGGGAAGCAATAGCTTGGCCCCTCCATGCACAGCTGATCCCATCCAGTTTGCCCTCTTTCACACTGGCCACAGCATTCAATTCAGTCATAATTCAGTTTTAAATGATGGGTCAGAGCCCCAGCTGCTGTAACCCAGTCTCCAACAGAGGATCTGGCTTGCTAGGTTCGATACGTGGCTGTTTGTCAGCTTCTTGTTGTCTCAAACCAATTAAGAGCGTTAAAAAGGAATAATTAGGGAGGATGCATTAATTAATACCGCTAATAATAGCCTAGAGGTATGATTTAGCAATATGCGTAGAAGCCAAGTCCCTGGGTAGGGAACGTCTGGAGACAGAGCGGACGCACCTGTAAGGTCTTTCCATGTCAGACGCTCCCGTTGCTCTGTGCAGAAAGCAATCAAACTGCTCCGCAAATAGTAGTTCCAGGGTCCCTGCTAATGGCTGCCTAGGAGACAAGGATGGCAGTATTAATTATATTTTCATTATTAACTGCTTCCTCCCATTCTTTCCTTTATGACCAAAGCAAAGACCATACTGAGGTCAATAGCTACTCAGTGTCCTAAGGGGGGGAAAAAAAAAGAAGAGTTGAAACATAAGTTTAGCTCACCAAGAAACATAGCTGCATTTAAGAAGAGCACACACCAACTGCAGATGCGTCCTCAGCCTGGCAAAGTGTACTTATACCCAAAAGCTTTGCAAAGAAGAAATTTTCCAACTATTTGAGTTGATCCAATAAAAGATATCGGATTTCCCCAAAGCACCTTGTCTGGTGATGTCCTTAGACCAACATGGCTGCAACCTATACCTCTCTAAAGGACCATCCCTTTAGCTGATGGATTAAGTACACCTGAATGAGGATCAGCCTTCCCTCTAAGCTGTGCGGCCGTGCAGACGTGCCTGGCAGTGCGGCATGAGCACACCTGCGTGGCCATGCACGCTGCACAGCTTAGAGGGAACGCTGATGAGGACGTGTCAACGCTAGGAAAAATTTGGTATGCTAACCACAATTTGTTGCCATTAGCTTGCTTGCCAAACCTGGTATGGGAGGGTAGATACACACCGTATAGACTAATGCCCAGTAAGATACATAGCGAGCACAAGTTTTTGTGAACTCAGCGGTGTATTGGCATCCTAGGAACCATTTTTTGCTCGACTTGTTTGGAAAGCAGTGCTCCTGCAGGCTCATCTGCTGCCGCGTGGAAGCAAAGCAGTGCAAATATCTTGCTAATGCTCCAGGAGATGCAGCTGGCGATGAGCACCTGGGTATCCAGACTAGGGAGTCACATCTCCCACTCCTTTGGGTGCTGCGGGCTACAGACATGCCTGCGTTTTAGCCAAGCCAGCCTGATGTACTGTTTGGCTGGATGAACCTTTGCAAGGGGAGGACTGACTTGGGATTAATCTGGAAGTCAGGAAGGGGTCAGAGTTGAATGCCCTGGCTATAGATGTAAATCAGCTTGTGGGTGACCTGAAGACGACCCTTTACAAATATACTCTAAAGATTTGAGCAATAACGAAGCTATGACATCCCTTGCTGAGCTGGTTAATTGGGATCACTGTTAAAAATGTGGCATTTTATGTCCAATTGGAAGTTTATAGGCGACAGTGCAGGGCCCAAAGGGGCCCTGCTCTTCCACAGGTTCATTAGGTGCTGCTGTAATGAAAATAATTAATATGACGAATGCAAGAAGTCAGCATTTGCGGGGACTGCTGGAAGACTAGTTGCAATCAGGCACATAATCCCACTGGTTCCAGCGCTCTTATCCTCTACACTTTATGCTGGTTTTTTTGCTTTTTTTGCACTGCCCTCAGCATGGACAGTGCTGTGAAGTCCTCTTAGTTATGATAATTTTAGATAGTTCAGATGGCTTCTTGTTGGCTTAATGGAAGCTGATTTCACCGGGGTTTTCTTCTATAAAAGATGCAGGAGTATTTCTGCGGTCTGAGGTTTGATAAAAGCTCGTGTTTTTACCAACTTAAAAGCTTAGCCCATTGAGGAGGCAGCAGCTCTTTAAAGAGAAGTCATAATAATAAAATGATAGCAGAGGAAAAGTTGAAACTCTCTGATGTGACGGAAAAGGCAGCCGTCTTGTTGGACAGTTTGCTTTCCACGGTTTTCCAGCAGCTGTCAGCAAAACTGAATGCAACCTGAATCAGTTTAATCACCAAAACTGAATCAGACCCACTTTGACATTGCTTAACTGCGCCTGTGGTGCAGCTGGATGGTAAAGGCTGGGCCTCTTACCTTTTCGCTCCGTGCTTCTGTGGGTTTATCAAGGTGCTATGCCATCCTCATACATGAAAAATGAGGAGCCCTTCATGTAAGAAAGAGAAGCTTGTTTGAAATCCCAAATCACTACGGCTTTGATTCACCAAAGCACTTCAGGACGTGCTGTGCTGAGTTCAGGCCTAATGGCCAACTGGCTCATGAGCGTTGAGATGGGCTTTCCAAACCAGAGGCCAGAGGTTATCATGTGGGATGCTCCATCATTGCTGTTTCAATCTCTGGCTGAGTTATGGATTTGGATGACTTGGAGCTAGGTGAAGTGTTACCCAGAAAGGAGAGATGAAGCTGGCTGGGAGGCTGGGCCCTTCGGTTGGAGAGATACCCTTCCTTTGGCACGCAGGTTTGCAATTGAGGGATGTTTCTGGAGATTTAAAAACTCCTAGAGGATGGGGTGGCTCATGTGGCCATGAGCCCCTCCACCCCGTTCCTTATGAAATGGAGAAGATGAGACAATTATAGCTTCTGCTCTGGGATGCAGACATTTCCATGGCTTTTCCCATCCTGGAGATCTCCTGATTATGGCGTTGCAGTCCTGGCTGACGATCGCGGGGGAGTTCCCATTAGTGCCTGGTACGGCAGCCTGGATGCTGAGCAGGGTTAGCCCCAGGAGCAAATGAACCCATCGCTGCCTCCCCGATCACTTGTAAATGCATTTCTAAAAGCCAGGTTCACCTGCTAAGGCTTAGCTTCTAGCTGCTCTCTCCACGTACAGCCTCCACAGCAGAGATCAGCTGACAGCCCCGAGATTAATGACCAGATGCCGGTTGCAGGGTTTTCTCTGGGGATTACCCCATTGCTTTGACAGAGCCAGGGTTTGTTAATAATCACTGCACAGTGTAAAGTCCATCTGTTCACTATGGCTCTTTCCTGAACCATATTAACCGTGGTGGAGATTTAGGACTGCCCAGGTAACGCAGGTGGGGCTATGACCCCTATGCCTATGTGCTTTTATGAATGCAGGGGGACCTATTGTAAATACCTAGAATTGTGTTGTCTTAATATAAATAGACCCAGTAGCTTTAGCAATAGGCACATTACGGTAAGATGAATTATGCACACACAAACACACACGCACACACACTCACTACATATATATATATATATACACACACACACACACACACATAATGGTAAGATGGTCTATACCATAATATATACATTATAGTAAGATGAATTATGCATACATGCACACACTTTATACCTATAGATATCTGTAGATATACATATAGATCTATAGATATAGATATACACACATATCTATATCTATAGATATAGATAGATACAGATGTATATTATATACAGATAATTCTTTCTGTCGGTCTGTCTGTCGTGTGCATAATTCATTTTACCTTAATGTATATATTATGGTATATACCATTTTACCAGTAGATAGATCAATCGATCGATTTATAGTGTGTGCGTGTGTAAATATCTATGACTACATCAATGAATAAATATAAATGCAAGGTCATATTTTCTGCCTGGGCTTTTTTTTTGGTTGGTTTTTGTTTTGGTGGTTTTTTTGCACAGCAAACTTACTCTCTCCCTTCTTAAGTATTGGATCTCCAAAGGATAAAGCGATGGATTTCATAAGCCCACTACGCTGCTATGTGACTTCAGACAAGTCATCCCATTTTTCTGTGCCTCGGTTTCCCCTCCCAAGCTTTGTCTGTCCTGCTTTGACTGTAAGCTGTATGGGACCGGGTTATAGATGTCTATATGTCTCTGTGGGTTTGTCTGCACTGCCTCAGGGTGAAGCCAGGGAGCAATACCATGCCCAGGCTGCACATACTCCCTCCCAAACTAGCTACCCTTCGCGGGGCGGTAGGCATGTACTAAGATGCTGTGCTGCTATCGGTATATGCCTTGCATGGGACTAAGATGCCTACTTCCAGTTTAGGAGGGAGTGTGCGTGGTGTGCCGCGGTCTGGTGCTCAGTGGCACGCTGCTGAGATGACGTAGAAAACACCTGCATGCTTTTTGCGTCCCTGTTATTGCTCCATAATGCCCAAAGCAGAAGACAGATGGGATTATTGTTTTTCAGAAAAAGAAACAAAACATTTTGGTTTCTCTTTACAGTTGGTTTCTCCTTCCTTTACTCCCACAGTGTCACTCTGGCATCCACGAAAGAGCTGAATAACCTTCTAGGTGGGAAAACCACAGCCGTGTATCAGGGACAGGCTAGGTGAAGAGGCAGGAGTGAGACAATACCTCACGACCAGCAAAATGCTTCAGATGTTTTCTCATTAAACCGTGCTGTTGATTTTTAGCAGGGACATCAGTCCTTTGAATTTCTGGGTCTTGCCGGGGTGAGCCGCCTCACTGCTTCCCAAATAATTTTTCTTTGTCCTTCAGGCTGCAGGTGCCTCTTGGCGTATTGTGCCGCCTCTCCTCGTCCTCTCCGGAGCTCGGGAAGGCTCTCTTTCCCCCATCCCTGCCAGGGTGAATTTGTCTCCCTCGGCAGTGTTGGGGAGGCGGGAAAGATGTCAAAAGTAGGATGTGAAATTCATTTTGAAGTGAGTTGTTAGGAGTGGGGCTGACATCTCTGACAAAGGGAAAGGTTACCGAACACAGCTTTTCCAACTCCTATCTCCTCATTCCCTTCTTGTCAATCATGACCGGCGTAGGCCAAATTACTTGCGGCAAACAACTTACTTCTCACATCCGCTTAACCCGGCCCCAGGGGAGATGGGCCCAGCGTGGTGCACGGCTGCATGGCCACGATCACGAGTCGGTGCTTGGCTCGTGGTTTCGGTGGGGCCGACTGCCCCGGGAAGAAGACCTAAAAGTGCAGCCCCTTGGGGAATAGGACGGTGGTCCTCAATCAAACTGCAGTAGACTCCACTAAAAACTGGTTTGGTTTCTCTAAGGGGGGAGGCCTTTCCTTCACCTCTGCACTGTATAAAGATTGCCTCAGAAAGCATTTTCTGCCTTTTTTTCTTTTGTCCTGCAAGATACTGCAGATGGGGATGGGAGGGCAATGTCACCATAGGCTTTGCTGCTGCAGGTGCTGCTCCTCCCTTATCTGAGGATTGAGAAAACTGCAGGGAAAGAAAGAGTGGTCAGGACCTGCTATTTCTAGTGTAATGGAAAAAGGCAATGCGGGAGTGTGAAAAGAAAGACTGCTGAAGGCGATTTTGGCTTGCACTTGTATTGATCCCCAGCTTGCAGATGACTGAAGGAAATGCTGAAATGCCGGCTGAAGTTGCAGTGGAGGAGAGGTGGTGATCTGAGCATCGTGAGATCTGTAGGGTATGACGCACCGAGAGGAAAATGAGTACTCGCCTCATCAGGAAATAGCACAATTAAACAAAAGGGTCTTCTAAATACAGCTGAAATGGGCCAGTCGGCGCAGGCTGGAGGAGCCCCTTCCCAAGGGCCATGCTGTGTTGTCCTAGAACAGGTTAGGAGGGAGGGTTAGAGTCAAGTCAGGACAAGAACATTCATTGAGTCAAGCCTGACGTGGGTAGAATCGCTGCTGCGGGGACCTAAGGCTTGCATGTTAAATAGGAAGATTTCTCTTTTTCTGAGGCCTGCTGAAAAGACAAATTAAGGTCCCTTTTTGGGCCGTAAGATTTTCATCTCTCCATTTTTTGTAATTCCTTTTCCTTTTTTGAGGGGAGGGCGCTGTATCGGGCGCAGAGTTAGGCGATGGTATAAATCAGCAAGGGTTTGTTGGCGGTAAACTGGCTTTGATCCACTGGGGATTTGGCTTGAGGAATCAAGATGGTCTTTCAGGGACTCTCATGGTGGGAACTGGCCTTTTATTTGGGTGGTGATGCGATTCGGCAGAGTCCAGCCGTGACAACCTTCGTTAAATAAGGTCATCAAGTCTCAAAGTCTAATGGGATATTTGCTCAAGGACAGATTGGGTAAAGACTTTAGGTTTGCTTCTAGATTATTTAGTAAAATTAAAAAAAAAAATCACTGTTCTTTTCTTCCTAAACAGATGAATAAAAGGAAGACCAGCAGCACGTTGCTCACAATGGACGACCAACCTTGCAACGCCCGGAGGGACCTCCCACCACGCCGGGCCTGACTGAGTTTGGCCCATGAGGCAGGAATTTCTCAGTCTTTCAAGCTTGTTAAGTCTCTCAGAGTGAGTAAATAATGGAGAAGGTTTGGAGGAAGTAGTTATCTACTCTCCTCTTCTGCGTCTCAAAGGAGAGTTTGGTGGATGAGACTGCTGACACTATAACCAAGGCGTTAAGAAGGACAACGGCTTTGCCTCTGTCACATGCTGTAGGAACACAGCAATTCGTGCTGCTTTAATTGATCTGTCTTGAAGTGTGGCTCGTCCTGCACGTAGCTTGCTTCCTTCCTTCCTTCCTTGTCATCTTTTGGTTGCTCATCCATAGTAAAACATGCTGACCTATTACGGGGAGGCAAAACACAATGCTTAGGCGTTACGCCTGATGGATTCAAAGTCCTTGTCTTGCTCATGCCTGGCGTCGTCCCAGTTTTAGAACTTGGTCATCTCAAATGTCTGGCTCCAAACCCAAAGTCACTTGGATAAAAAGAGTTTTAAACTCACGCCCTCTCTAGTTTATTCAGCTTATTGCATGACTGCGTATTTGACAAATGTTAGAACCACTCGCATCTGCTATGGGAGGGACCCAAAGTCCGTAAGAATAACTCCCAGTGAACCCAAAGGGGTTTAGATGAAATCCTGTGGGTCATGCTGGAATACCATACAGCAGGCATG